AAGGGCCCGTCCTGCTGCTGGCGCCGCGTGGTTCGGCTCCTGACAGCGCTGGAAGGAAGGACGAGCGGGCGTTCCTGGGTGGGAAATGTTGAGCAGTTCCATTTCTGTGGGGAAAGGTGTTGATTTGGGATGCCTTTTTTCGAAGGGAAAACAAGGCATCCCCTTTGCTGTGACAGAGTGCTGTCAGTGGCAGCAGGAAGGACTTTTCAGGAGGCTTCCCACAGACTGTGTTACAGAGCAGGCTGTGAGCAGGCAGCAATCTGCATTGAGGGGAAGTGGCTCAGGCTCCCAGAAAACACGCTCGGTCTTTCCACAGCGCCCAGCACCAGGTTTGGAAGGCTGTTGGGAAGCGTTCCCCAGGCGCATCGAGCGTTTCGGAGCTGGAAGTCACAGCGAGGAGGAATCCAGGTTTTGTGCCGCCTGTAGTGAGGAGGTTGATGCAGGAGACACAGCAGCTGAGCTGGCAGGGGTGAGGAGTCTGCGCTGCCAGCAGCGCGGGCCGAGGAGCCCCTCCGCCCGCACAGCCCGTTGTGAGACGGACTCTTCGATAACGAAACAACAATAACGAAAAGAGCGTCCCCACGACGGAAGTTGGATCCGTTTGCGAAAAGCGCAGGTGTCTTGCCGTAGAATTTACAAGGAGCAAAACCCCTCTCCTGTGCTAGGGCCTGTCCGCCTCTTTTGGCGAATGTTGCTTTGCCAGTTTGGAGGAGAAGCTCTTCCTACTGCTGGGAAGGCTGGTGCGCTGCCCGCTTGGTGAATCGCAGTGGGGCTGGGCTGCACATTTATGGGAAGGGGAGTCCTGGCTGCCCAGTGCCCCCAGTGCTGCTCCCAGTCCGTGCAGTTACACTCAGCAGGTCTGGGGGACCTGGTCTTATCTCATCGCCCTCCAGAAAACTGATGGCACACTGGGAAGTGGGAGAATAAATGGCAGGATGAGGAGAAGGCTGGTGCTATGCCAGGCATGTTTAGACTGTGGATTGCAGCTGAAAGGAATGAATCACAAAACATCCTGGGTTTGTCATTCACTGTGCCCATCCATGATATTGGAGCATGAAGGATAAAATACAACACGATCAATATGTCTGAGCTCGAGTTCTACAACAGAATGTTACCGATTCCTGCACACACACATCCCTGTGTTAAGTAGGAGAAAAAATAAAAGCAGTTGTTGACATTAAGGAATCTCCAATGTTCATCTTGCTAACGAAAATGGTGGAATAGAGCTGGACAGTGTATCTTTTATAGGAGGAAGTGATAAAGGTGGCTTTCAATTCTTCCAGTTCTTCTGTCACTATAGCAGTCACTTCAAAGTGACTGGAGATCTCTCAGCAGTGTTTCCAGATGTCAAGGAGATTTACTCTACAAAGAGGTAGTCTGTGCAGTGGGCTCCTTACTTGAGAAATAGCAAAGCAGCAGAGAGGAAACAATGACTTATCACCAAGTAATGTTCTGTGGCCACTGCAGTCTAGTCAACATATGGGGAAGTAACTGCCCAGTAAACTAATGTGTGAATTGACACCAAACTGGGAGTTCTGCATTGGTGTCCCTTTAAGACCTTGTTAGAGTATGTTAAAAGCCTGTCCATTAATTTTTGAGAGACGTTTATCACAGTTAGCAAGAAGTGTGACTTTCTTATTATTGGGACACCAGGTGATACT